CCCTACACAAAGAGCTCAGCTATAGTTAAGAGCCCAGGAGGGAGCAGGGAGGATGAACTTGCACTAAAAGACAGATTAATGATTTAAGTTTTGTGTTCAAAACTAATGATCTTTTAATATGAATGGAGCCAGTAAAACTGCTTTTTTTTGCTGTCTGAATAATATATACCAAGTAGTGCTCGAACAGAAATATTTTTCTGTGGAGAAGACTGATCAAGTCTCTATTACACCTTCCTTTTCCAAGGGGAAATTCTGTTTAAGCATCTGAATATCGGTGTATTTGCATGAGGCAAATAGATATTTTTTTAAATAATGTTTTAAACTTTTTTTACCAGTCTTAGTTCTCCTGTTCCCTTCATTGGAAAATAATCTTTAAGATTAAGGAAATCATAAAAGCATCTAAGTTAACCAAACAGGCATGATTATGAAATACAGATTTATTACAGACTTCTTTCAGGAGGGCATCGATCTTCCCTGGAGGCAGCCCAGCTTGCTTTGGGAACAATGGGAGGAGATGGTGGTTTTAAAGGAGGCATTTGTTTGTTTTTCATTAAACACCTTTTAGGTTCACTTCTGTTGAAAAGAATAGCAGTTAGCAACCATTCTGGTTCTCTATGGAAATTGTCTATAGTAGAAAATTGGTTATTACCAGGGATTCAGATTTTTCTGTTTAAAAATCACAAATTCTCTGATTTTAATCACGGATTTTAGAATGAAATGCAACTATTTATAAGTGTCCATTGAACACAATGTCTTATTGATATATTTACAGTTTTAAAGCAATTAGGAAGTTTACCAGTGCCTCAGTCATCATTACAATAAAATAAATTCCAAGTACTTACAAATTTTGGTATTTGGTTGTGGGGGTTTTATCATGGAAAACCAGAACTTGTCCTGCCCCCTTTGCTTACCAGGATGCAGGTCTAGGCCCTTCACTCCCAAGCCACAACCTCACTCTTCCCCCAGCCCTGTTGAAGGGGACCCCTAGCTGCCAGGGCTATGGGGTCAGGGATCTGGGTCCATAGCCCCCTGCTCCCTGCAGCAGTGCCCAAGCCCTGGCTGCTGCCTGCAGGAGGTGGCTGCAGCATAGCAGAATGCGGAGCTTGGCTCCCGGTCCCCCATGGGTGGTGCAGCCGGAACGGAACCCATTGGTGGGGGGTGCAGACTGCCTGCTATGAGCTTGGACTCCCCACCCTGCTGCCACCCCCGCCCCCTGAACCTCTGTAGCCCAACGGGTGGGACCTGGCACAGAGCTGAGTAGGGCCAGGCAGGGAGGCTCATTGCTGCCACTGCAAGCCCCATGCCACCATGGCGAGGCACCCCCAGGCTGCCTGGCAGCAGTGAGGGGCGCAACTCTGCACTACTACTTCCGCTGCTACCAGGCAGGCAGAAGGAACCTTGCCAGGGCAGCACGGGGCTTAGTCACAAAGAGCCACCTTGCCTGGCCCTGCTTTGCCCTGCTGCACTGGGTCTTGCCTGTTGGGCTGAGGAGGCCCTGGGGGAAGGATAGCAGAGCAGGGCAGGGAGCCCAAGCCTGCAGTGGGCAGCCCACCACTGTCCTGTGGGGCATGTGCACAGTGACAGGAAGTCAGGCCCCCCACACCCTAGGCGAGCTGTCCATGTCCCCATCCTGCTCCCTGCTGGGGCCCTGCAGCTATGCATTCTGGCCCCTTACCTGTGGGGAACTGCTCTCCAAGCTGCCTGGCAACCATGTGCATGTGTGAGTGAACACATGCGCGTGGTGGCCCCTTGCCTGACCACCTTCCTCCTGTTCCCTCCAGCCCATGCAGGCTGTAACTCTGCCAGCCTGCAAAGAGATCCTTGCAAAAGTGGAAAGTCCATTTGTTTCTCCATTAAAATGAAATTCTGCATGTTTCTTGGTTAAAAGGGAAAATCCACATTTTCCCTGTTTTCCCATGCGAAACAGAAAACCTGTATCCCTGGCTATTGCCTGCTGCAAGATAACTTTTTATTTGTAAAAGGGGGGAAAAAATTACTAATGGTAAATCAAATTCAAATGTAATCAGTGCATTAGTGTTCAGTGATTTTTTTTTAACTATGTGGAAATTTGAAGAATTCTGTATTACTTTATTTATTATTTATTTATTTATTTATTTATTTTTTTGGTCCTTTATCATAAAAATGATCTGACCGTCCTAAATTTTTAAGGGACCCATTTAAATGCTAATTTTAATTCATGACCTAGCTATTTTTTCTTGTAAAAGCTCAAAATTTATTCTGTAGATGCAGACAATGTTGTATTCTTTACCACAGAGCATTGAATCCATATTTTAACTTCTATAGTCATCTCAGTTGTAAATTTCTAACTACAATCCTTCTAATTTTCTCTTTTTTTAGTTATTGAGTCGAAAAGACAAAGCTACCTTTGAAAAGCTGGAGTATGTTATGAGTAAAGAGGATAATTATAAGAGACTTAGAGATTATATCAGCAGCTTGAAGATGACTCCTTGTATTCCTTATTTAGGTAAGCTGAACAATATTTATGGGTGGTATTAACAAGAAAATACTTACACAAGCAACTAGAAAAAAGAGAAACCTATTTTAAGCAGTATATGAGAATACAAATATAAATCTAGTTGGCTATAAATGTTTTGTATACAGCAAGAAAAATATTTCTCTCTCTCTCATTCATTTAATTATTTATATAAGTGTGTGTGTGTGTGTGTGTGTGTGTGTGTATACAAGTGCTTTAAGATTTTACATGGAGTATCATTTTTCTTGGAGATGGTTTTTCCTTATGTTGTGTAGATATAATGATTGACTGATGGTGGAGTAGTTAGACTGTTATGCCTGGCAATACTTTTGAAGAACTAAACATTTGACTGTGCATAGATATAATGAAAAGCAGTAAATCACTAACTTGACAGATAAGTATTAATTATAGACTATTTATTTTAACTGCTGTGAAACCTGATTTATACTGTATGAATTGACACTTGAATTATATTGAAGTGACCAGGATAATTAGGTCATTGCTATTAAAGATAAATAAAATAGCTGATGTGCAGAGTTAACTTGAATAATTGAATTACCTTCCTATGTTTTAAGAAAACTTGACCAGTTCATTTATTTTCATTGCATATTATTTCTTATGTCTTGACAAAATAGAGCATTTTCATCAGCTTTTTGGAATTACTTGCTGAATCGAGGAGAATTGAGCAAGATTATTATAATTTACTTTTAATATATTGCTCATATTTTTGGTTTCCTTGATCATATAAAAACATTAGTGTTTAACAAAAGTGTTTGTCCAACTGCTTCCCTCTTCCAGCTCAGCCCAAGGTTAGCAGAGTTTCACTTAATGATTTGTGTTACATCTCAGCTGTTTGTATGTCTGTAGTTGGAATAATCTCCAGTGGCCTACTGTAGTATACTGGATTTTAATTTCACTTCACTCTAAATGTAATAATTTTTCTGTTTAACATTGCTGGATTATTTTAGCTTCTCCGTAACCCCAGACTCCGGAGGCTCTTCTTTGTGTTGAAGTTTTCGTAACTGTCACAGTAGGTGGCAGGGAATGCCTGGCCACTCAATTTCCACTATTTTATTTGTCTTACCAGCAGCAGACAGGTTTAACTACATCTTCAGGCGTTCTGAAGAGAAATATGACTGTTTGTTTCCATAATTTATGGTAGTGTAAGAGTAACGTAGCTGTGATGGTCTAGAGCAGGGGCAGGCAATTATTTTGGGCAGAGGGCTGCTTACTCAGTTTTGGCAGGCTGTTGAGGGCTCCTTGACAGGTGCCCCACCCCCTGGTCACCATCTTGGGACCAATGTCCCAGGGTCAGCACTGGTGCGACCCAGAGCGGGTCACAGGCTGGCAAGGATCTGTGGAGCCGGGCTGGGCTGCACCAGCAAAGAGGGGGGAACTGGCCCGGCTCCATAGAGCCTCTGCCGGCTAGGACCCCGCGCTCCTGCCACCCTGCTCTGGGTCCTGCTGTCACTGGCCCTGGGACACTGGTGTGGGCCCCGTGTTCCTGCTGGCTCCCTGCCCGCTCACACCCAGTGCCCCCCAGCCCCGTAGTGCAGGCAGGGGTCAGTGCTCAGCCCCAACCCCCCTGCTCACCAGCAGGGAAGAAGTTGGTGCTGACCATGGGGAAAAGTGGCCCATCCCATGGCTGGTGCTCCCTGCTGCAGGCATTCACAGCCCACACAGGGCTGTCTGGAGCAGGCACAGGCAGCCTCATGGGGGCTGCAGCATGGGGCACCAGCCATGCGGTGGGTGAGGGCCTGCCTTTCTCTGCACGGGGGAGGAGCCTGGGGAAAAGCTGAGTGCAGGGGCCAAGCAGCCCCTTCTGCACCCCACAGCTGGTGCCCCACGCTGCAGGTGCTCGCAGCCCACATGGGGCTGTCCGGAGTGGGCACAGGCAGCCCCACAGTGGGCTGTGAGCAGTTGCAGTGCTGGGCACTGGGTGGGGGAGGGGCCTTCCCCCCCCCCCCCCCTCTACCCCTTCCCCCCCCGGGGGCTCCGTACTCCTTCCCTGCCTGGGGTCTCCCCACCACTTACCTGAGCTTCCCACGCCGCCAGGGCAGCCACGTGCTTCCAGCCCAGAAACTGCGGCTGGGGCTTCTGGCTGGGGGACGGGGCCAGGCGGGCCTCTCTGTTTTTGGAGCCCACCGGGCTTCCCCTGGGTCCTACTGCCCCTTGGTTCCTGTCATTTTTGACAAGAACCAAGGGCAGAGAAATATTAATTTTCCACACTTTTTTTTAGGGGCCCCGCGGGCCGGATAGAATGGATCCAGCCTGCGGGCTGTATTTTGCCCACCCCGGTCTAGAGATAATGTGTGAGGCAAGGATTTCTTAGGGTTATATATTTTGCTGTACCAACTGTGTAGTTGGGATAAAGTTACACAAGTTTTTAAATGCAAGACATTCTTTGTCAGGTGAGACAAATAGGCGAGACCTGATCTCTCTCCCTGTAATTTAATCATCTTAAATGTTCATTATATCTCAGATTTCTTTTACCTATGAATTTTACCCATCAGATCTCACTTATCTTCTATTTTGTAGCAGTCAGTATCCTTGCTGCTCAGGAATAAAACTCTGCCAAAAATCAAACGCAAAAACATTTCTATTTTCCTTCTACTTCACTGCCCCTTTGAGTGTCTCATGTAGGGCTTGTCACAGTCAGTGGGGGGTTCCAATTCAATTCAGAGAAATTAAAGGGTCTCCTGATTCGATTCGGAGATTCAGCCATTGAATCGGTCTCAATCTCCACTGAATCGAATCGGGGACCGAAGCTTTGCGCAGCTCTAGTTAGCAACCTTTTAGGAGCAGCACCCTGAATTGATGGAGCTCAATCCAAAGACAGGGTTTTGCCTGTAACCTAGCTACCTAGTACTTGTACCCCAGCCATGACTGATGTCCCAGCTTCATGGGCCGGATTAAACTTGGTGGGTTGCATGCCATCTCAAGGCTTTAGGTTGCTTATCCCTAGGAAGAGAGAACACATATTAGTGCAAATCTTGAACTGGGCTCTGCCATTTACCAACTGTGTAGTTGGGATAAAGTTACACAAGTTTTTAAATGCAAGACATTCTTTGTCAGGTGAGACAAATAGGCGAGACCTGATCTCTCTCCCTGTAATTTAATCATCTTAAATGTTCATTATATCTCAGATTTCTTTTACCTATGAATTTTACCCATCAGATCTCACTTATCTTCTATTTTGTAGCAGTCAGTATCCTTGCTGCTCAGGAATAAAACTCTGCCAAAAATCAAACGCAAAAACATTTCTATTTTCCTTCTACTTCACTGCCCCTTTGAGTGTCTCATGTAGGGCTTGTCACAGTCAGTGGGGGGTTCCAATTCAATTCAGAGAAATTAAAGGGTCTCCTGATTCGATTCGGAGATTCAGCCATTGAATCGGTCTCAATCTCCACTGAATCGAATCGGGGACCGAAGCTTTGCGCAGCTCTAGTTAGCAACCTTTTAGGAGCAGCACCCTGAATTGATGGAGCTCAATCCAAAGACAGGGTTTTGCCTGTAACCTAGCTACCTAGTACTTGTAACCCAGCCATGACTGATGTCCCAGCTTCATGGGCCGGATTAAACTTGGTGGGTTGCATGCCATCTCAAGGCTTTAGGTTGCTTATCCCTAGGAAGAGAGAACACATATTAGTGCAAATCTTGAACTGGGCTCTGCCATTTTTAAACTGGTCTGTGTGACATACTTTTTTTCTGTTGCAAGTATAGACTGGTTCTTTGTGACAAACTTCTGCTCTGTTATGGGTGTAGATCAGTTTCTGATCACTTATACCAGTAAAAGTGTAATGTTAGTACCTGGCACACTGACGCGGCAGGAGGGGCGGTAGTGCACCAGACATGACGGGAGGGGCGGTGGCCCGAACAGGCAAAGACGCCTGTTTGGGCCTCTCAGGTAACCAGCATATTTGGTTATCTGGCACCCCCCCACCCCATTCCCCAAGGGTGTTGGATAACAAAGCTTTTGCTATATGTTAATTCTTTTTTTCTGAAGCAGAATATCATCCCTCTCAAAAATGTGGTATATAATGGAAATTCTGAAAAAACCTTAATTACCAGTGTGCTGCCAGATGTCACAGTAAAACAAGTGGTCATATTAATAAAAATAAGATGTTTTCTTGGCTTTAAATGCACAACCCCTTGAAATGGTCTTCTATGTGTGTTTCACTGAAGCTGAGATCAGCTGTGCTAAATTGTTAGGAGGAAACCTTGAAGAAAGGTTGTAAACATTTGTCTGAAGAGCCCTTCTTTGGCAAATACTAAGGAAAAATATTGCTGTGTATGATGAGAGAGTGCTCTAAATCTGAAAATCGTTAAGACTACTCATTTGTTCGTGTCAGAAATTTCAGAACAAACAAGAGGTTGTATTGGGGATTTGGCACTGTGATGGCATTATTTCTGTAGGAGAAAAATAGAGCAGTGTGCTGCAAAGTGGAATAGAACATTACAAATATGCATCTTTCCACGTATAATTCTTGATATCATCCTCTTGTATAATGGGAAGACCATACAGTTTATGCTACTAAGGATATAACCCCTGGGAAAGAAAATGTGCTGAAAAATATCTTCAGTTATGCAAAAATTGGAATCAGTTAATTGAGAAGATGGTCCAAGTCAGCTGACTATCTACCCCTCCATGGGAACAGGGTTTTTTTTTGTGGCTATACAAATCTTCTGGGGACTATATTTTATGCAGAGTTCTAGGTTATAAGAACATTAAGATGGCTCAGTAAAATGCTCAAAAATTGAAATATGCTACAATTGTGGTTATTCATGTAATAATAGCTAGTAAATATTTTGTTTTCTCTTTATTTTTGCTTTCTCTTTATTTTATGTGATTCCCTATTTCTTGTTTACAACAGGCTATTCAAATCCTGATTTAAAGGCCAAACTAATTTCCTCATCGGCTTTTCTGTGGTGCTCTTCTCTATGGTTGGAGTTTTCCACAAAAACAAACTATTGAATTTCTCTTGGAATTGGGGGTATTATGCCCAAATTATGAATGGAAAATGAAGGCAGTGATTTCAGCTAAAAGTATTCAGTAATAGGTGCCAAACTTAAGATGCCTGGATCTTTTAGGACATTTTTTCAGGGTACTTAATATCATCTAGCACTTCATATGTTGAAACCTCGCACTGACTTACCCAGTCCATTCTGACTGGACCTTCTCCTTCCCATTATAGCCTTCTTATCTCAATCTGCTCTCACCATTCATTCCCTCAACCTGATCCTGACCCTTGCTGCTCTCTGCATTTGAATTGGGCAGCTTCCTTCTACTCTTCCTGTGCCCAGTTGAGAAATTACGTATCCCATGCTCTTGTCTTTCCTTTCCATTCCAGTGCTCTCCCGTGAGCAGGCGTGGGCAGCACTCGGAGGGAAGTTTCTTGGCTCTTGCAGCCTGGACTAGAGCACAGTGAGTGTAGATGGGATCTTCCAGGTTTTGCCTAGCTACTTTCCTCAGCATGTGTGAAACACAGATCCCTCCCCAAGGCATATAACTGGGCCAGATCTGGGCCTATTTTACAGGAACTGAAAAGCACGTTTCAAGTCCCTAATCCAAAGATGGGAATTAGGGATAGAAGTGACTATCATGTCTTAAAGAAAAGTTTCTTAATATGGCTAAAACATGCATTTTTCTCTTGCTTCCTTCTCAGAGGAGAATCTCTTGGCTTAATTTTTTCCCAAAATTAGCTTTTTGCAGTTAGCTGACAGTTGAAAAAAATCAGCCCATCTTTTTTAGTTCTGAAAAGTTTTATAAACAAATGAAAATGGGGCATTCTAATAGAAGGCATTTCATTATTACAATTATGAGATTACCAAATCTGCTTATAAATTAATAGACCTGCAAACATTTTAATAAATTTTCTCCTTTTCAGAATATTTCATTTGTATTATACGATACATTTTTAATGTAGACTTTGTACATTTTTTTTAATGAGCATAAATAACAGTGCTATACTATAATTTGTAAGTTTGGGGGTAGAGACAGGTTCAGCTATCTATGATGCTAAACTTAATTAGAATAAATTTAAAGACTTAAATAGGTGGTTTCAGTAAATTTCATTTAAAAAAAATCTGTTCTTTTTTAGATGTCATTTGTCTTAAGTAGGTATTTATATAAAATGTGTTTGTCTTGGATGTTATTTTTTGGAAAAGTAGTTGTTTTGTAGCAAAGAGTAGCTTTTTGTGCAGAAATAATTGCTATTTGGACAGAGAAGGGAATATATAGGCAGGAAGTATTACAATTGTCATTAGTGATTCTCTAAGGAAATGTTCATGGGATACTGTTCAACTTCTAAATATATCTGTGCTGTCTAGCAGTGCTACTGTAAAAGAAGCTGGTGCTTTCAACAGGTTTTTAAATGGTTATATGTATAGCTAAATCAAGTCTATGGAAAGTTTTTTTTTTCATAAAAAAAAAAAACAAAAAAAAAACCCAGAAATATCTCTCTCTTGCAAAAAGCAATGTCAAAGTTTTATAGTCTTCTTTTTTCCACTTTTAGTTGGCTAGCTGCTGCTTTGTCAGTGGATAGACGCATGTTACTCCATAAAATAATACTGGAGTACTCGTACTCTTCGCCATTCTTCTGTTGTAACCTTATACCAAGCAATTAATAACATTCCTTATAAATAATCATTAAACTTTTCACACTGTTTTGGGGCCTTAATATGTTTAGATCAAATACATATTAGGTTAACAATAAGTAGACTTGAACAGAATGAGTATTTTGTAATAATTTGATTTCTTCAATAATGTCCTATTTTGTTTTTAATGCACATATAGTACCTAAAACCCCAGGATCAAAAACAGCTTTTATATCTGCATGTTAATTCCAGTAGAAACCACTTTTTCAGTAATTCAGCCAGTGATAGCATTTGTTTATATATAAATATGCCTTGCTTGGAAGAATTAGTTAAGATGGTCACTCTTGTGACAGAAAAGTTGCCTACTACATGGCTTTATAAGAGGTGGTAGTTAAAGAAAAATTTGTTTCAATTCAAATCAATGAGATGTGTGGGATTTTCTGTAAAGTTTGTCTCTGCTTATAATTGCTGATTGAACCTCTGTTTACTACACACTTTCTAGAAACTTTTATTCATGATAGTTTCTTAAGTAGAGGTGAACAGGAAATATTTTTTTAGGTTAGCATGAGAAATGTACATTCTAAGAAGTTCAATATCTGTCTTCCAAAATAAACTCCTGTCTCTGAGAGTAGGACTGATTCCTGCTTTGGATTCATTACCATTTCCCTCAAAATTATGATTGAAAATAAAGGGAAAATTATAATTTTGTAATTTGGACACTTAGGGTCTTTTGCAATGTTTAAATGAACTACTTGGCTGATGGGGGATGCTTGCTCAAAGATCAGTACTCACAAAGCTTCATTTTTCCTGGTTTTAGAATAAATGTAAAATATTAAACATAACATAAATAAAAATACTATGTTTACAAAAACTAGCATTGAGTACTTGGTTAAAGTATTTCAGAGCCATGCTTTCTTACTGTATTTACTTGAATCTAAGATGACCCTGAATTTTTAAGATCCCCCCCCAATAATTAGATTTTATTAATGGAAAATGTATAAGTTTTTAGTTTAATTTTCCAGGTATAGAATCTAAGTATCAGAGGGGTCTCTTTACATTTGTCCCCTTTCCACTATGGCACCAGGGAAAAGGGTAGCGGGGGGGGGGGGGGCAGCTGGCCGCCTTGCTACTGCATTTTTACCTTTTTTTGGCAAACTGCTGCAAGTTTCAGCAAAGCTACTCCATAAACACACTTTTGAGTAGCACTTTTTGTACCTACTTATACATAGTATAATATTAATCCGAAGTGAAAAGGTTGATATTTTATCACATAGTTCATTGGGTTGTGCTCTAGCAGAGTCAACAGTGTTTCAAGCCATGGTGATCCCACCATGCAGCAGTACTCAGTGAGTATACTCCAGATTCCACCCTCTCTCCCCACCCTCCCTCCAAGGATCCATGTGCTAATTATCTCCCCACTCACAGCTGGGACCATGTGTTTTTTCTCACAAGTCCTGGGACTTTCCAAAAATTCATATGCAGATGAAGCTTGAGGCTGCTTGGTCTGGTTCTACTCCATGGAGAGCAGGGCCACAGCAGCCACATGCAGTGGGCTGAGCGGGGAGAGAGAGAGCTTCTCATCTACATAGGTGTTTGGTGATGTTTGCCAGACATTAAAGCCTGATGAAGAAACAAGAATAATTGGAAATGGGAAAGAAAGGTGCTGCCCAGGACTGAAGACAGTCGAAATGTATGCAGTGTAGTGGCTCACCATGACTTGAAAGAGAGTCGTTTCTGTGGAGGACTGCACTTAATGGGTACTCCCATATATTTTATTCAGATGGGTTGCACTGCTAGGCTTGTGGAAGTTTCCTATAAGTGTTTGCCCAATGTGGACCATATGTTTTACAAGTATGCTCAAGTATGGGCTGTATTCAGTCAACTTCATAGCTGGTTTTAATTATTGAGCAGATCCTGCTCTTGGTGGCAGTTTAATGATAGTGTATTTAATTAAGAGGTTTCCCTATATGTGAATGTAAGACAAGAGTCTTATTTCCTATGCTTATTGGAGGGGGGTGGTTAGGGGACATTATCTTATTTTATTTCAATACAGTAGTAAAGCCTCCAGACTTATTGACGTTTTAATTTAGAAAACTAGCTTTTTGCTTGCCTTCCACTACAGTATTGTACATAGCAACTGACCTGGAGCTCTCAGCACTCCGTGCATATCTTCTACTATTGCAGTTACCTAATGTTTGTTCTGCCCTTATTTGTTATACATGTGTAATGCATGCTTATCACTTTTTCTAACAATCACTTGAAATACTTCCAGGTGGAGGAAGGGAGTGGGGAAGACATAATAGAAGTTCGTTTTGGCAGGTGAGAATTGTTCTTTACAGGCAGCAAAATTTTAAAAAACACTTTGAATGGGAAATTGTGGAACAAAATATCATCCATGGACCGGATTGTGTTAAGTATGGGTTAAACATGGATTACAGATCCTTATCCTAATACCTGGATTAGCTGTTGTGGCTCTTGTTTATATGGGTTCATCACTTGTTTGCATCTCCCAGCCCTATCTTCTTTCCCTTCCTCCCTCTCTTCCTTCCCTACCTTTTGTATTCAAATCACTTGCTTCATATCTTGCTCTACACTTGTCCTTTTACAGAATCTGATGAAGTCAGCATGAATTCACAAAAGTTTTATGCTCTCTATTTATGCAGCCTGTGTGTGTCTTGCTATCTGGCAGTCAATTTCTATTTTAATAGTAATTGCTTTTAGATAAAATGTCTGTGTTTTGTTTGTGTATATCTTTAATATAATTTAGTGATTTCCAGGGCACCTATCTTATAATATTGGGCATCAATTTAAGCTTCTTCAGAAGTTGAATTTAGACGGTTTCTTGTGCGCAGATTTCGAAATTTAAGATACCATCTTCAGGGATGGTTGATCATTCAGGCTGCTTACAAGTATAAAACAAAACATCCCAAATGTCTCTTGAAATGTGGTGTGTCCCCGTGCTGAGCCCAGCATGTGCCCAGAAGAGGCATTGTGTTGGTTTAACCCAGCTCACCCAACATCCGTATAGATCGGGTACTTTATCTAATGGCTGATTCAATGAGCCATTAGATAAAAGTGCCTAAAAGCCCCACTGAAGCTCCTGATCTATACAGATGCTGTGGAGCTGGGTAAACTATCGCACTGCCTCTTCCAGTAAAGTGTGGTTTGGTTTTGTTTGTTTGTTTTCAAGTCTGTCAGCAGACTCGGACATGACAAGTCTTCTGGTTAAGTAGCCTCTTACAGATTACATACGTGTAGTTGAAACTTGGAACTCATTTTAATCACTTTTAAGTGATTGGTGCAACTCCCAATGCAGTGCTTATTCTTCTAGGCCACAGGCTGTCCTTTGTCTATAAGGTATTCTCCGTTTCGCCCATTATTTTTCTTATGTAGTTTCAGGTCAAGGCAGTTATCCATCTCCTTCCCTAGAATAAAATTGTTCACTTTCTGTTGCCTTCTATGCATGCATCCTATCTTCTGTCAACAGGCTCTCTGCTTTCCCCTCCAGCTTGATTGAAAAGCAATAAGGCTTTAGATCAGGATCTTGGCATCTAAAGTAGCTAAGAATGAAATGTTATGATGTCCATTATGTTAACAAAGCTCATGGACTCAGTGAATTTGTTAACTCGTGGCAAATGCATCTTACTTAAAGGATCCTGGAAGACTCTTAAAGTTGCATTTTTTTGTCTAAATGGTTAAGAAATATGAATTTTGATTGCTGATATTGCTTAAGATAAATCTTACCCCTTAAGACTTTGAAGTCAGTCAGCTAGACCTACTGTCAACTCGTGGGTATCTTTCAATAATTAGGCTTGGCACAATTCAACTTTTATTTTTTAATTATTTTGATAGATAATATTGCTATTCATTTTAAGCATTTATTTAAATTTTTATCTATTTAAATTTTCAGGATTGTGAATTTTAACCACCTGCCTCAACAAATGTAACAACTGTAGGACTGCGCCGGCTGAGCAGCAGAGCTGCCCTCCCTTTTAGCTCCACTTGCCTGTAGCTCCCTTGTCCACTTTGTCACTTCCTCTTCCTTTGTTCCTAGTCCCCTGAGGTTTCGGGAGTTGCAGTCCAAGCTACAGTCAGCATGGTTCTGCAGGGACTGCTCCCTCTGTCTCACACTCCATCAGCTATCATTTTTCTTAAGCCCCCTTTCTATAAATTTTGATTATTAACAATGGAAGTATTTTTTTCACCGGACTGTGTGAGGTGAGATCAACATTTTATCCATGCTTACTGATTAGTGGAAAAAAAAAAACCCTGAATCTTGCCAAACCTAGCAATAATGCAGTTTAGTCTTTACCTCACAGCCTTACAAGTGGTTACAGAAAAGGTGCCCAGGCATATACTGAGATGGATCTGTTCTTTCAGGGACACGAAAAAATATATTTTGTGCATGTTGAGATGGAACTCCTAAAATCCATTAAGAAATAGTCTTAAGCTTTAGTTTAAAAGTCCTTTTTTAGCTTTATAACGAAGATATTTGCCAGCTACGAAGGGGGAGAGTGGCAGATTTGAGAAGTTCATGTGACTGAAAATTTTATAGAGTAAAATGTTAGAGTTTAAAAGTCACCTCATTTGCAGCTTTATAATGTATATTAGCTGCATTGTAGAAGTTAAGAATTGGATTTTAAACTATTTTGTTGAACAAACTGTTCAAAACTTCTTCCATGAAAACAAACTTCTTCCATGGAACTGTTCTTTGAACTGTTAACAAAATCTACTTGAGACCGTGAAACCAAGAAAATCCTACCTTTTGGATTACATTTTTTTTTTGGTATTCATTAGATACATATGCAAGTGAAGTAGTTAAATGTCCTTATCTTTTTCACCCACTTAGTCAACTGGAGTGTCAGCTTAGGTTTACCATAAAAAAAACAAACTGCAAAAGAAACTAAATAAAACAACAAGAAAAAATACTTAAGTTTTGCTTTGAAGGTTGATTTACAGCTGCATATCAGCTTCCTTTGCCTGTCTAGAAAAACATAAACATCCCATGGAGGGTATCTATACAGAGTTTAGAAACAAATTGATACATATTGGCATAATATAAACTGCAGGATTTTGTTCAAATCAGAAATGAATAAAAGTTAAAAAAAAATAAATAAATAAAATAAAAAAAAAAATTACCAAAATAATGTTGGCGTCTCTTTGGGAAATGGGATGAGGTTGCAATTAGAGGGATGTTGAGATCCTCTGTGTATCATGCTCTAATTTGCCCTTTTTTTTATTTATACCACTTTTGCTGTTATGTTCGAGTTCAAGCTATTAGGAAAGTGTTTCATGTTTAGTGGAGTACGTACCATAGCACTCTGTCTGCCAGATGTGTTGAATACCAAAGCAAGTAGAAGATATGAGCACTAAGGAATTTATTTTTGCAGCTTCTTAAAAGTATATGTTTTATTATAACTTCATTCTTACTTTTGTTCTCATTTATCATGCAGAGAACATTGTTATGTAAGTGTGCTGAGAGGCAGGATGCACACGTTCTAGGAGGAGTTTTCTATGCCGTTGACATTTATTTTCTGCTTAATTTGCAACTCCGTATTGAAATAACTGGTGCAAAATATATTTCTTCAGGCAAATCTAGTGTCTCATTTTTGTCTTTTTTAGGATGCAAGTTCATTTGCATATGTAAATATCAAAATAATAATAATGTGAAATCAGTTTTTTTATAAGTAGTCGTCCTATAATAAAGATTTTAAATAAATTGTTAAATAACTGAAATGGAATAATTTTCATATTAAACTAAATCATTTCACACATTAAATATAATGGTTGAACGAATCTGAAGAAGCTCATAGCTTGTATTTCAACTGGAAAATCTTTTTTTAGTAGCTTTAATGACTACATGTGTTTTGGACTTGGACAAAGATAAATATTTATTGCAGGTGGAATTCCTGCATGTTTTGTATGTTATTACAAGCTCGTATAGGTAACAAATGCTGTCTCACAGTAAGAAAGTTTTTAAGAAGACAAGAACAAAAAACCCAAATAAAATATACTTGTAGCTCTGCATCTTGCAGAGCTAAATTGTGCAAAATAAGGGTCTAAATGTAACTCTTTCTGGAATCCAGGCACTGAAAAGTTTTTTTTGTTTTTTTTCTATTTGATCACTTGAGCATGATAGAGCTTTAACTTCTCCCCACTCAGTCAATTGGTCTGATCATCATTTGAACTGCTTTCAAGGAGTATGAACCTCCTCGATATTCAGCCCAAAAAATCCCATCCTGATACTTGCTTCTGTAATGGCCTCCTCTATACCACACTCCATTAAGGTTAGAATGTGCACAGGCATTGTACCACCAGCCTCCTTTGTGGAAATGGGCACAGTTTCCTGTTGGGAGAAAATAAAATAAGTGAAACTGAAGCACTTAAGGGAATTGATAGATGAGGGGTTTTCAAACTTATTCATACTGTGCCTAGCTGGTAATAGAGCTTATTTTGCAAACCACTTTGCCTCCCAGTTTGCATTCTCATAGATCACTTATTCCATTTACAATCCTTTTAACTTGCTTTCCCCTACAAGGAGTTGTTTATAAAGGAACATAATGTTAGTAATAATGTGTCCTTAGCCACACCATTTGACTAATCAGCTGTGTTTCGTGAACTGAATTTAAGAATTTCTGCTGTATGGAACTACATAAGTAGGAGCAACATGACTTATATTTTAATTTTGTTAATTTGCCGTGAAGCTGATTTTTATTTAAGGATGTGGCATATTATCTTCTCAACAACTAATAATGGCAAATAACTGTTTTAGTGAGAAGCTGGCCATGTTTTTCTGGTGAGCGGTGGGGGGCAGAATGACCCACTGTGGACATTAGGATCCAGCCACTGTCACTGCTCCTCCCTGCTACCCAGCTGTAGTATGTTGCAATGAAAGTACCCCACTCAGCCAAAGCCTTGAGTGCCCAGCTGCAGCCTGTTGTGGGCAGAGCTCCCTCTTTATCAGACTTTAGGCACTGGACTGCAATGCAGTGCAGGGAGAGACTCCACCTCTGAATGCCACCAATTGTGTGGCTCCATGGACTAGATCCAGCCTGCAGGGCCATAGGTTATTGACCCCTGGCTTAAGTCATTGGTTTTACCAATGTGACCTGGCCTGAGGTCCAAAATTGCATAATAAGTGTCAACAAAGCAAGGATTGTTTCTTTTTCTGCAGTTCATTTTGTTTTTTACTTGCTGTTTAATTTGGATTAGTATTATTGGACTTGTTGTCAAAATAAATCATTTTTTGTCTCAGAATTGTATTCTTATTTAGTTACAAGTAATACACAAAACCCTGGATCCTGTATGAACTTAATTTTATAACGCTAAGAATAGTCCCATCAGTGGCCGCGTCTGCATGAAATGCTTAGTGCGCAGGGTCAGTTACTACTGCACAGACACACAGTGCTACTGTGCAGTAAGAACAGGCTACTGTGCAGTCTGCGTTATCAGGAAGTTATGCAAGGTTGCTACTGCATACTAATGCCAAATACTGCGCAGTCATTTTGTACTTGGGATTGAGCAGTAATAACTGCATAGTTAGCATCTCATGTAGATGCAGCTAGTGAGACTTTAATGTGATTAGAGTTACCTGTATGCTTAAAACTTAGCAGGATTGGGATTTAACATTGCAATTATTGGCAAAGGTTGGAGAATATATGTCTGGGTCTAGTCTGAAGGCTGAGAGCTAGTGCTCTACGAGTTTACCTCCAATAAGAGTGGTGTGACTTCTAAGAATAATATAGGCAAAAGCCTTATTTGGAATGGAGTATGTGCAAACCTTCTTAGACTTAACTCTTATCAAAGGTCACCAAATTTAAAATAACTAAGTCCTGAATTATGCAGCAGGCTCAAAATAGGCCCTGTCAATTGGACTACCTGTGTATGCTGACTGCTTACTTTGAAGAACCAATAATAATAATAATCATTTTATCATAATTTAAATAATGTTGGTTTTTTTAAACCCTTGTATATGTTGAAGGTGGTATCTGTTGTACCAGCCAGCTTTTTCCTGGGTGACACTAGTTTCCTTACCTGTGTACATATCTCTGTCTCTGTCTAGTGTTGTAAATTGTTTTCCATTGTGCCATATCATGGAGTCCCCAGCATTTCCTTGGTAAGTTCCCAGACGTAACCTATAAAATTCACTTTCAGGCTCCAGGCGAAAACTGCTGTATTCTGCATAAACTTTCTTATTGCTCCAGTCTTCTAGTTCAATCAACAACCTGTAATTGTCCTGATTGGTAAGCATGTAGATATTTTCTAGTCCCAGCCAGTACTCTCCATCAACATTGCCAAATCCTTTCTGTACAAAGAAAACCAGAATGTGAGGTTAAGTAGTTTAGCTTTCCTAATCTGTTTTAATGAAGATATTTATCAGCAACAGTAGCATATTTCAGTAAAATTTGTTTTAAACCAGTAAAAGGTGTTAGACATTTGAACTTCTTGACCCTTTCTTTTTAATCTGCATAGGGCAGATTCTGCCACTCTTACTTGTCTTAATTTAGTATTTTATTTACTTAACAATTACTGGTAGAACTGCTGGTAGCATGAGGAGGAAGAAACTGAGCCCTGGTGTCTGAGATTCCCCTGATATCTTTAAAAATATTTTCTGGCAGCACAAAAAGTGCCCTTTTAAGAAAATGTGGGTACATTCAGAGTTGCAAAAGATAGTTATGAGCAATCCCAATACTTATGATGCATAAACTCTGCACCTAGTGTGCAGGTAGGTTGCTATTTCTTTAAATAACTTAACTAGATGTTCTACCTGTTCACCTCTGACTTCAATCCTAATGAATCTAGAAAAGACCTATTCAGGTTTGGGTCAGACAACTAATATGATGCATACCTGATAGGTAACATTTGGCAGCCTTTGCCTTCTGTTCCCAATAAATTATATCTTTAAAATTATGTGGTGATTGGTAGAATAATTTTTTTTTCTTACCCAAGAAACCCTTTAAGTAAAGCTAGCTTGAAGGCCAGTTTGCCTCCAAAAAGTTAAAGGAAAAAAAGTTTGTTTTGAAAGAAAAAAAAAAACAATAAAGGAGGAGGTAATGCAAACATTATCAGTTATTTTATCATGAGGATTCAGTTTTAATAGTCAAATACCTAGAAATGAAAAAGTTCTTAAAGTTCTCATAACTTATGTGCACTTTCTTTGCATATGTTGTATTACGGGTTACTAGTTGAGTTGGTAAATGTAATCTTTACAGTAGCTCACTTGTCGCCTCAGACAGTAGACACAAGTGCAGGTTAAAATAAGCTCTATACATGCAATGTGGGTGACTCATGAAAGCCCTGTTTATTATGAAAATACTAAACTTTGCATTTCCTGACCAAGCTGTATTTCTACTACAGCTGTGCACTGCTTGAGAAATGGCAAATAATATACCCAGTGCAATCCAAATTATCCATAAAGGCCCCAGTTTAGCAAGATACTTACTGACATACCTAACTTTAAGCATGTAAGTAGCCCCATTCTCAATTGGGTCCAGAATGGGATGCATTTCCTATGAAAATGTAGTCAGTAATTAGACTAATAATTTGTATGCACTGTATGGCTGGGTCAGGGAAGCATGTACAAAGGTAAAGTTCTTTTCCCTGACCCTACTGCCTAGAACAAAGTTCAAACCTTATTAGAAAGCTAGGAGTGGCTTACTTTAAATTCAAGATAAGTTGTACTTAAAAACGAAGGCCCTGATCCTAAAAATGTTTGTACATACTAAACTCCACTTAAATGAATAATCCCACTCAAGTGAATTGGACTATGTAAGTGCGTATAGTTAAGCATGTTGTAATTGTTAACAGAAATCATGTTTTTTAATTAGACTGTTGGAATATACATGGCAAAAAAAATTCATTGTTCAGAAGAGCTTGTTGCGTACCCCACAGGTGGACACACTACATGTTATACATAAAATACTTGTCTGTATTTTGAAATTATAAGTTGATTTACCTTTAAACTTAAAGAGATAAACTTTGTTAAAGTGGCTAGCCATGAATGATATTCTCAGTCATTTTCCCACCAAAATGAAGCTCCTTGTTTTCTGAATAATAAAATTTACCTTGTAACTGTCCCAATTCCTGAAGAAATTGACAGATCCATCTGTCCTTTTCTGAATAACTGCCCAGCCTCCAGGGTCCAGGCTGTTCTCACACCATAACTGCATTGGCTCATTGCTGTTTTCAGGTTTGATCATATAAATTCCACTGTTGGAATACCCAGCTTCTTTGGCTTGTTGACAGTCTTTGAATGGGCCTGTTTGAAAAAAAAAATAACAAGAATACTTATTTCATAATTTTAATTCTCGGAAAGTAAAAGCTACCATATAAACATGTAAAACATCTTTGTCTTTTATTTGGTTAACTTTCTGTTTGTCTTGTTTACCACACCATCTTTCCAAATAACTAAATGTTTTGCAAAGCAGATGGCATTCTTTTACAGTCTACACCCAAATATTTTGATAACTTCCTTTTGAATGTGTCACAAGGATTTACAACCTAATCTTATATATGCAAGAAGAGTGAGTCCATTTCATAATTAGTTTATCCTATATAGTACAGCTTACTTTCTGGTATGCATTTTCATTATAATGCCTATGTTTGAACTGATATAGTAAAAACTTAAAGTATATGAGTAGCTAGCAGCAAAGCTAGAATTTCTTTAGAAAACTTATTACAGCCAGAGTCTACAAGTATGGAACTTAATGCAATAAACAATGTTTACAGTGTTGTGTGGGATCCAGGTTGTAGCCATATTGGTCTAGAGGCAAAAGGAATCAGAAATTGTGGTAGAGGTGATATCTCTTATTAGACTAACTAACTAGATTTTTGCAAAAAAAATTCTTTATTTGTAAGCTTTTGGGCACCAGGGACCCTTCTGCATAAAATAAACTGTTCCAAATGGAAGATTTTATTACACCTTCAACTTTCCTATGAAATACAAACTTTCATTTCTGCCTAAGATAACTTTTACAATCTTTTCTCCTGTGCATGTGCCTGAAAGCTTGCAAATAAAGAATTTTTTTTTGCAAACATCTAGTTGGTCTAATAAAATATATCGCCTTTACCATGAGTTCTGATTCCTACTGTGTTGTGTAACATTCGTCGTCTTGATTACTCCAATTCCAACATTTAGTTTATTAAACCTGAGATAAGAACATCTTTATACATTTCATATTTTCATTTTTTGACAGTTATGTACACATGACTAAGCCAGAGAAGCATACAAGTAGTGGACCAAGTATTCTTGAGCAGCCAATAGCATTCATTTACTTGTTTCAAAGCTGTACTTCTAAAGAGATGCTGCTTATGGTGGCTCTTGAAAGTTTTCTTTCAGGTTATAAATACAGTTCTTATGAAAGAGGATCTGTCAGCCTTCACATTGTAGTTATGTTTCTTACATCTTTATTAGTCCGTGTGTCCTTTTTGTAAATAAAAGTATTATAGTTTCTGTGTTTTGACCCTTCTGTCCCTTTTCAAGGAAAAGGATATTCCTAGATAATCATTTCTATTGATGTTTGTACTAGTTAGAGAATTTTCATACTATAACTGGATGTCTTCTGATAATGGCTAGTGGTGAATCCCCTGTTAGTGGTTGATAACTCTATAAGTCAGTCTTACTAAAAGTTGATAACTTTCTGTTTAAATGCTAAAGACAACTACTGGGGGGTTGTTCTAATTCTCTTTTTGAATAATCATATAATCTGTCCATCTAATTGAAGCAAATTATAAATTATACAGTGCAGTGTAAAACCATTGCTGAAGTCGATCAGGTTTCCAACCCAAGATTATTTTTTTTTTTTATTGCACGCTTTCTACTGACAACCGAACTCTCTTACTTTTTTAATATGTTTGGTGTTAAACCCCTACATCTGAACCCAACCCTTCTAACTGGGGCCTGGCAGCAGGGCAGGGCCTGACGAGAGTTGCCATTTACATTATGTAAAAGCAGGGTGACCAACCTTGGCCTTGCAAGTGAAATGTGGCTCACGGAGCCATTGGATCTGGCCCGTGGGGCCCCCCACGGGTCAGGAAATTTGGCAGCAAGGAAGCAGTGGCCATTAATGTGGCCACCCTTCCTCGTGCCAGATTTCCAAACCTCAAGCCCCACATGCCTGCTCTGAGTCAGGCCACGACCCTTCTACCAGTGGGCCCGGGTTAGGGCCAAGCCATGCTTCCTTTCCTGTGGCAAGACTGGTACATACCCCCTATTCTCTCTGGGGTCACACCAAGCCCTCACCCCCCCCCCCCCCCCCCCCACAGGGCTGGGCATCTGCCCTCTTTTCTCCCACTGGGCCAAGCCATGCCCCCTTTTTCCCTGCAGCGTCAACTTGGTGCTGAGCCCCACATCCTCCTCTGAAGTGTCAGGCCATGCCCCCTTTTCCCCCATTGGGCTGGGCCATGCCCCCTGTTCTCCAGTGGGGCTGGGTTGGGTCCAGGCCACGCTCCTTCCACCCATGGTGCTGAGTTATACACCCGGTAGTAGAACAAGGAAGGATGTTTGCTATTAATAAGCGGTATTGGTATTAAAAAGTAGTAGTGTACATTTACAGCATTTCTTGATAACAAGAAGCAATTTTGCCTCGTCTAAAACACTGCCAATTATCTAGCAGCATTGAAAAAATTGTCATGTACCTTTTGGTTTAGAGAAGTGATGCTTTAAAGAACTTTATTTTGAAAACTCAAACCTATAAAACTGGCACAATGACAGAATTCTCTCTGAGGTAAAAGTAAACAAGATTTTGAATGTTATGGACTATATTGTTTCATTTTTAAATTATAAGATAGTCAGTAATGCTTGCTTTTCAGAAAACTGTGAACTCATATCTCAAACATAGCATGTTTAAATATTTTTCACATTTCTTGGAAAAAATCTCCTTTCAATTTAAGCATGAAAAATTGATCACCATAAGTATCTTCTCTTGTTTTCTAACAACTGCTTCATGCCCTTCTTGCTAGCCAAAGTACACTTTGTCAAAATCGTCTCTTGTTTGTTGCCTTGAAATTATTAATGTTTTAATTCACTTGGCATTTTCTGTATCTTTTTAATTTCTTTGTTCTTTCTGCTCGTTTTCCTGGTATCCAAGTACAGGGGTGGTTCTCAATCTTTTTAGACTCGAGACGCCCCTTATTAGACTTGAGCCCTCCCTCCCTCCCGATTAAAATATCAGCCCTTCTTTTTCACTCGGGTTTTTGACTATGCAAAAATAATAGAACAATCTTTCTCTTGTGTAAAAAAAACAAAAAAACAAAAAAAAAACAAAAAAAAAACAAACCTCAGATTAGAACAGCTCAGAACATTTTAAAACTGCAGTTTCCTTTTTGAAATCTCTGAATTTATCTTGTGAATCATGTTTGCACACCTAACATTGCGTGGCACCCTGTAGGATCCTCATAAGGATCTTAAAACACCTCAGGGTGCCATGACGCGCTAGCTGAGAATCACTGAGTTAATGAAAGCTCCTTAAAGCATGGTATTGTTGCTTCCATGGAACCTGTTAGGTCTTACTGCGACATGGTTTAAATTTAAGCACATGACAATTATCCAAGGGGTGAATCTGCACCTGCAGTTAGCACGTAGCAATAAACTCTGGAGTAGTTCGTGCTGAACTTTGTTGCTTCTGGGCATAGTGTTTACATATGTGCCCAGGACTGCAGGACAGAGCTGAGGTGGATCAACCCTAGGTGACAGGGGGTAAGCCTGCCAGCCCAGGGCTGCTCTGCCCCAGCTCAGCATGCTGCAGAGGTGCTGCCTGGGGCATGAGGATGCTAGAGTGTGCCTAGCCAGCCCTGGTCACCGTCTACATGTGCATTTCAGTGCACATAACTACTCTGCTGTAGGATAGTTCTTGTCCCAGACAGTACTGTCCTATAGTGGAGTTAGTTAATTTACAGTGCTCTAATACGGACACATGTGTAAATGGTTATGCTTTACTGCAGAGCTAATAAGTCAGCTCCACAGTAAAGCACATATGTAGATGTGTGCACCCAGTGAGTATAAACTTTAGTAAAGCCTTTATTCATACTATCAGCCAGGTGATCAGACTGGCTGACAGCAGGGATAGTGCAGGGTTGATCACAGTTCTATTCTTTTTATATATTAGAAATGCTAATATCAGGCATACATCATTGCATTTTACTTCTTTCTGTTTAATAACGGAATTACTTTCTCTCTTTAATTAGTCTTTGTCTGTTGTACCTGGTTTCTGTTACCTCATGATAAATCATTCTTGGTGCTGTGCACCTTTACAATCTACTGACTAATGAACTTGATTCAAGTACAGCATCCCCTACACACACATTGTTTCAAGTTTGGTCATACCATCCTACATTCATCTGTTGTCGCAGTTTGTACTGCTTCTATTAATCTCAGGGTGTTTTTGAACAGGTTCCAGATGTTCTGATGCACTTTACTGGTCCTCTGAGCTTCTAACTCTTCCTGGCCTGCCTTATGGCCTGTACGTGGATCTACCTTATTTTTGTTTCTATAAACTGCATGTCATGATTCCATAGTAACATGTTTCCATAGTAAGTACTTTCCTGAGACAGCTTTTTGATTACAAAATGTGTAAAACAAAGAAATGTTATTTCTATAGCAGATTAAAATTTTGGGAACACTTCAAAAGATCTGCTACTGTAGCTGAAATACTATGTTCTCTGTGGAGAAAGGAATTCAGCAGTCTTATTCCCAGGACTGTTAGAGGCCAGGCACATAATAGAACTGTTTTAACTGGCTGCTAAGGAATGGAAAATTGCTATAGCCTGTTTACATAATATCCTTTGATCACTTCTAAAATTCAACTGGCATTAAGCACACAGGATGTAATTTGTCTCCAATTTGATGCTTAGATTTGTAGATGCAGTTAACATAGAAAGTTGATGTGGTAGAAGAGGTTTCAAAATTATATTCTAGAATGAAAGAGAAAATAAATCCAACAAATCCCTTAACATTGGTTCATTATCTTGCCTTGTTTTCTTGAGGAAAAGTAAATATTTTAAATATGTGGATCAAAATATATAATCTATAATACAAATTTTTAAATTATACTGTGTATGTTCAATATATCATCAACATTAAAGCCTAAAGTTCATAGGTTCACCGAAGGATGGAGTCAAAAGCCCAGAGGTAAATAAAGAGCCTGGGGACCTGGATAAAACTTAGTACAGGGAAGCAATAATGGAAGCCCATAGCAGTATCCTCAAGAAGAGGATAGGAAATGAAATGTATATTAATGTGAGAAGTTTGGGGAACAGATG